AGTGGAGTAAAAGTAAAAAGTTCCCAAATAAATAACTACTCAAGTAAAGTACAGATACTCAAAAAATGTACTTAATTACAGTAATAAAGTAAAAGTACTTTGTTACTGTCCACCACTGGGTATAGATAATGGATGGATTATATATATTTTTAACAATAACAAACCAGAATGAAAACAAGCAAAAATAAAATAAAAATAACGACTTTCTATTTCTTATCTTTTTTTWAAAAAATGCAAGGAGTAGAARGTACAGACAAATGTCAGAAGTTGAAGTAAAATATTGGTTGAAAAAATAATTACCCAAGTACAATATACATAACCAAAATTTCTACTTAAGTACAACAACAAGGTATTTGTACTTAGTTACTTTACAACTCTGCACAGCAGCATGTCATCAATAAGGTCAAATAACAACTTGTCTGATGTCAGGTCAAACTCATTTATTATCAAAGCCTTTTTTGCAGATCTCATCATCCTACAAGACCTTTTTTCCTCAGTGTTCAAACTTGTATTGAACCATCCAGCTGTATGACGTTTAGGGCGAGAGGGCAGAACGACAGAGAACAGGTAGCTAATATTATTTTCTGTAACAATAAGAAAGCTATAGATGTTTCATTTAAAATTGATGATGTAGAGATCTGTAGAGTCAGTGAAGTGAAGTTTTTATGTGTCATTATTGATGAAAAACTGACATGGAAACACCATATAAATGGTTTAAGAACAAAAATGGCCAAATCAATTGGAGTCCTGTACAAAGTAAGAGAACTGTTCAATGACTAAGCACTGTTTATGTTGTATAACGTTATAATTGTTCCTCATTTAATTTACTGTATTGAGGTATGGGATAAAGCTTGTAAAACTATCACAAATCCTATTTTCATTTTACAGAAAAGAGCTATACGAGTTATTACTAGAAAAAAAATCTAATACATTGTTTCATGACTTGAAATTATTAAAATTCTATGATTTGGTTGATTATAATATTTTACAGTTAATGTACAGAGCTCATAAAGGTGTCTTACCTTTCAACATTCAGGTAAATTTTGTTAAAAGAGAGAGCTGTTATTATCTTAAAGGAATTGAAATGTTTGTGAAACCTTGGGTTTGTACGAGCCTGAAGGAGCGACCCACTTTAATCCAGGGAATAAGATTGTAGAGCAACATGGAAGATGAGTTTCAAAATGCCAGATCCTTGTATATATTGAAGAGAATGTTAAAAATAGCATTCTGAAGAAATATGGAGAATTATAAGTGAATTCATGCTAATTGTTGTTTGAGTTGGTGTCTTAGTTTTTTGTTTTAATTAATTTTTAAGTGTTTTAAGTTGTTTTGAATTTTTATTGCATTTTACTTTTCTTTTGAACATATTTTGGGTATAAAAAAGGGGCAGATATAAGATTTATTCTTCTTCTGCATCGTTTCATTTCATTTGATTTCATTTTGATTGTTTTTTTCAAACTTTGTTAATTTTGTATTACAAATGAAACAAATAAAAATACTACTACTACTACTACTACTACTACTACTACTACTACTACTACTATACTAATGTTAACTTGTTGTTGTTTGGTAGCTCGCTATTGTATCGTCAAATTATTGTAAAAAAAGGAAACACTACAGTTGTTGCAAACAATTCACGTGAAGTTACTCTCATCTGTGTGACATACCCCCCCCCCCAATAAATAAATAAATAAATAAATAAATAAATAAATAAATAAATAAAGTCAGTGAACCAATAAATGAGCAGGTTCCAGAAACCTGGCTGGACCTGTGCYGATGGGCTAATACAAAACGCCAAACCTGAGTTTGAACCCTGGCCGGGCAAGTTATGGTCTGCTCAGTCGCATGAGACCTTGACAGAAGAAAAAATGTGTTCTGTTGCAACTTAAAGAGAAACAAGTTCTTGGAAAGACAAGACATCAGTAGAGAAGTGAAAGACGAGTTGGGATAAAGGAGCTGGTAAAACTGAGGTGTCAGGAGTGTTTCACTCTCTAACTCCACATGTCAAATGGGTTTGACCTGCTCTTCTCTCCAAAGACCCAGAGTTTTCGTTTCTTTCCGCCCCTTAATTTCCAGCAGAGTAAAGTGTGTTTTTCTTCTTCGCATTAAGGGATGATTCAGTGGGTTTGCCGCGGTTTACCCTCAGTAGGATTAGAGCTGGAAGCCTTCTTATTATCTTCAACCGTTTGAGTTCCTTCGTCTGTTAGGAAGAGCAGTGGAGCTTAAGACAAAATTATCCCCTCGGAGCCTTTCGAGTGGCACAGCTCCTGCCTGGAAATGGCTGGGGAGCAGTTTGGCAACGGGGCAACTGGGAATAAGGAGGCAGCCGTGACGCGGCATCGGAGTACATGAGAGGTCGGAGAGGATGTTTGGGTTTAATTTATACAGCAGGATCGGCTAGAGGAGGGCACTGAGGAGGAAAGAGGCTGGAGGACGTGAGCTGTGTACGCTGRTGAATGAATAGAGATTTATGCTAGGAAGTGATAAGAATTCAGTCAGAGCGAGTACAGATACTTCTTGTCTTTGACAGGAGTTKGGGAATCAGCTACAAAAGCATTCACAGAATGAAAAAACATGTCTGTGCTTCAGCAATTTCCACTGAAATTACAAGAACAACTGGGCCGTAGCAAAAGTAGCCGGTGAAAATGTGGATTCTACTCGATGAATTTCACCAGCTTCTGGCTACTTTTGAGTCCTGTGCACTTTCACCTAGCTGATGCCATCATTTTACAGGGAAAATAATTGACATGCATTATGGGAGATGTAGTTTACAATGCTCAGCTTATTTTGAGACATTAATACAAGGCTATTCAACTATGCTGGGTGGGGGGG